GGAGAGGGAGAGATAGAAACAGACCAAGCCCGCAGCCCGGACATGTGCCCCGACCGGGAATCGAACCGTGACTTCCTGCCAGGCTGCTCTTACTTTATAGAAGAGGGAGCTCGAGGCGCAGAGGCGTCAAGTCCTGTTTGCCACTTGCACAACGATTGAGAACCAGGGCTCTCAGCCAGGACTTCTGACCCCGAAGCCCAGGCTCTCCCTCCCGCTCCCCACACTGGCCTCTGGCTGACTCCTGGCTGCGGGCCCCACCTGTAAAATGAGCTGGATGAGGATGTTTCAAATGTGGTTTGTGACCAGTTCTGAGCTCATTTAGGTGTGTGTGCATGCATGTGTGCGTGTGCGCGTGTGTGTATTCTGGCTTGAAGTCTCCAATGCATTTCTTACTGTGAGTCATGGTCAAAAAAGTGTGAAAGCCACTGTATCAGATGAGCCCTCCCAGCTCTCCCAAGCTAAGCTGCCTCCCCTTTCTCTATTGGAAACTGCTGCAAATACAGGGGCAAAACGCACAGTCACCGGCCCACCCCAGGCAGCTTCAGGCCAGACCTTTCTCTCCAGCGGGCGGAGGATGGCTTGTGGCTGGGCCTGTGGCTGGGCCTGTGGCCGGGCCTGGCTGCCCAGCGCTGGGAACACTCACCTGGGCAGACTCACGTTCACTGTCCCCACAGGCACAATCTCCAGGGATTTCCCCCAGAACTTGTTCTTCCACTTCATGTCTGGAGTTGGGTTGGGAAGGGAGAGGGACAGCAATGAGAAGACCAGAGAGTGTCCCAGCCCCTCCCCCATCCGCCCTGCACCCTCCCCCCAGGTCCACCCTCCCATGCCCCCCCTCACCTTGCCAGAAAACAAAGTTCTCAGACTCCGCATGGCACGCTGAGATTGGGGGGTGGTGGGAGACCTTGGGGAGCAAGGAGTTCTCTTGAGGCTGCCCTTGAGGCCCCCGAAAGTCCCTCCCCCCCCCCATTCCCCTGTGAACCAGAAGATCAGTTAGTTCCAGGTCTCTTTCCCTGTGACCCTTGGCCACCACCCAAATTCCATCATTTTCTCTTCGTCCATGAGGCCCCTACGTTCTCCCTTCTCCCTCGCTCCCCGCTGGAGTCCTCTCACCACCCAGAACCCCTGCTGAGGCCTATAAAGTTCTCTCTCAGGGACAGGTGGGGACTCCACGGTGCCCTGCTGACAGCCAACCCTCCCAGGAGGACCCCTTCCCTCCCCTTGTCCCCAGCGCTGATGTCATCCTGCAGCCCCCACACTACCTGGAGAACCCTGACCTGTGCCCACACTGGGACCCTTGGACTCCGGTGTCCCCAGCCTGCTGTCTTGCCTCTGCCCATCCCTGTCACCTGAGCTCCTGCCAAGACCCCCGGCCGCTCTGCTCTGTGGTGGCCTGTCAGCCAGGGCTTCCCCTCCTTCCCACGCAGCTGCGACTCCCCCACCCTCCCAGGCCACTCACCTGGCCACCTGCGGCCACTCGCCACAATCCCAGCACCTGCAGACCCCTCGGTGCTGCCCGGCTCCCTGCTCTCTAGACCCCCACCCCTGTGTGTCACACAGCACATGCTGAGCAACCTCAAATCCTACAGCGCGTCTGCACCGGGGACCTCAGCATCACCCAGTCCTCTGAGGGCCTCCACCCAAGCCTCCCCTTCAAGCCACATTCACCCCATAATCAGAGGGAGAACACAGCAGGCGACTCCTTCCACCAATTTACGGGCTCCCACCCCGACCCTCTCCCAGGCCAGGGCCCCTCTCCTCCTCACGCTGCCTCCCGCCCCTTCCTGCAGGCCCCCCACGCCTCCCGTCGCCCCTCTCTCTGCACTGCAGTCTTTCCCGCTATATCTCTCTTTCTCTCTGAATAGAAATATGTCCTATTTCTTCCACCTGAAGCAAGAGTAAACCTGGCCTTTCTAGTCGGGCGCATCTTTGCTGGCGCCGGCGGAAAGCGAGCACAGGCCGCAGCTGCCCGTGGAGGGGCGAGGCGGGGGTCACTTTCTGCTGGACACACGGCTGGGCTGGGGGAGCTCGTCACCATGTTTTCAAAAACACTTAAAATCTAAACAAACACACAAAATTGCCTCAACCCTTTATCTCCCGCTCTGACTGCCACCATCTTTCCTTCCTCTTTTCCCTCACGGTAAAATGTTTTTGAAATAAGCCTGCACTTCTCTCTCTCTTTTACTTCCACTTTACACTCACTGTAACCCAGCCGCACCCCAACCTGTGTCTGAGATCTCCCTCACCAGGAAGCTAATGACACCCCCCAAGTCCCGTGGCCCCACCCTCTTTTCCCCCTCCCCCTGCACCTCAGGGCTCCTCTCCCCTCCCCCCCCCCTTCTCCCAGACCCTTTCTGGCAGCAGTCGGGGACTTTGCCTGCCATCTAAGGGGTGACTTTTCTGAGGACCTCCAAGCCCAGATGCCCCAGGGCCTACGGGACGTCTCCCCTTGGAAGTCAAGCCCCGTGGACAGGAGTCTCCCTAATTCAGTTACCTCCCTCCCATACGCTCCATCTCGCTAACTGGCAACGCCACACACACACACACACACACACACACACACACACCAAATGCCCCAATCCGAATTCCAGACCAGACCCCCTCAGACGTCTCCCTCTCATCAGCCGCCTTCCCTGCTCCCCATGCGTAAGAACATCCTGTTGACCGCTGAGTCCTGTCAAGGGCAAGACATAAATAGCTCTTAACCCCCCCACCCCAGCCACCCAATCCAGCTGCCACGGCCTAAGTGCAGGTCCTCATCAGCTCCAGGGAAAGGGCCGAAATGCCCTCCTAATGGCTGCTCTGACCGTACACCTCTGCCTGGATGCTCTTGACAAAGCGTAATTCTGAGCACGTCACTCTACCACTTAAAACCCTCCCCATAGCCTTCAGGACTTAGAAACAACCAAGCCCTCCTTACCTTCACCACCTACAGGGCTTCTTGGGTCTGGCCCGCCTTGTCTCCCAGCCCCGTCCCTAACGCCTCCTAAACGTGCTCCATCTGTTCCTTTACTGTCTGGAACATCCTGTCCTACCCACTCCCGTGTACTCCTGGCGAACTCCAATTCATCCTTCAAGACGTAGCTCAAGATCACCCCCTAGAGTCGGGGTGGGGAACCTTTTGGATATTTCTAACATCACTCGCTTAATATAATTCACTTAATATAAATTACAGTGGGGCCTTGACTTACGAGTTTAATTCGTTCCGTGACGGAGCTCGTAACTCAAATTACTCGTATGTCAAATCAAAAGTGAACGAGTGAGACACGTGATGCTGGGCTGATGTTGTGGCGTTCACTGTGACGTTCGCTGCGCCAACTAGCGGTGGGGTATCTGAAGCTGGCTTGTAACCCGAATTTTAGCTCACAACTCAAAGCAAAAAATCAGCCGAGAGACAGCTCGTATCTCGAAAAACTCGTCGTTAGTCGGACTCGTAAGTCAAGGCCCCACTGTATGTTGCTATGAAAAAAGCTCCTAGATTTATTGAATTTCAAGTCCCACCTGTGGTTGCCTTGGCAGGGCCAGACCAAATGATTTTGCGGGCCTTATACCTCCCGCGGGCCGGACGTTCCCCACCCCTGCCCAGAGCCTGCCTTCCCAGGCAGGGTGCTGAGTAACCTCCTGTGAGCTCCCATGACCCCAGCTCTAGAGTGTGGCACAGTAGCCACACTCAGTGGGGGCTCCTTCGAGTAGAGCCCTCTGTACCTCCATCATGTGGCCCAGTGGCTGGCACCGAGCCCACTGCCCGTGCCCTCTCCCAGGCCCTGGCCTCTCTGAAGCTCAGGTGCTTCCCTGCCCCGACCCCCCGTAAGGACAGCCCCCTTCTCCCGGGGCTCACACCTGCTCACTGATGAAGCGGAAGCCTCGGTCAGGCCGCTCACACTCGTAGGTCTCCCCCAGGACGGGGTTGAAGGGCTTGCAGCCTGCGCGGTGGTACGTGGAGGAGTAGGCAGAGACGGCAAAGGCTGCGATGTACACCTGCAGGGGGAAGGGCGGGGAGAACGCCACTGGGGTGGTGGGATCGGAGCCAGGGCTGGGGGCCTGGGGTGGAGCTTCGGCAGCAAGAGGACAGCGCAGCCAGGGTTTCTGGGAGGCGGGGGCCCGCGGGGTGGGGAAGAGGCAGCC